AATTTTGTGTTTGGTGGTGAGGTGACACAAGCCCCTCCACTCATTCAAATAGGGGACCACATTCATATGGGTTGATGAGTGCATGAGAATATGCAACCATTTGAATGAGTGGATAGGATTATGCCAACTCAGCACCAAGCACAACTTTTTGTGCTTAGTGCAAGCATACTCATTTTTCTTATATATATAAATATGTTAAATATATTAACAAAATAAGAGAAAAGCATGATGATTCTTTTTTAAACTTAAATATATTTTTATATAGGATAAAATCCTATCTTTTGAAACTTAAACCCCAAAAAAGTTTGAATTTCTCCCTGAATAATAACTTTCTATATATATATATATAAGATGTACAAATGAGAACGTTTATATTTGGCAAGGACTAGAAGTTAAATTAAATGGTATTCAAACTAGGTGCAACACGTATTTTTTTTTCTAATACAACATTTACAAAAGGGACAAAACACACGATGGAATATGATAACATCAATTATAAAGATAGTGATTGGAAATAGGAAAATAGCAGGTATCCTTAATTTTTTATATTGTTCGATGATGAGTCATTTACCTTTGGAAAAGTTAATCAAGTGCGCAACTAACGCGTGTTAATAGGTTTGGTATTCCTTAATTAACCTAAAACTGCCTACATTGTCAATCTATGTCTCTCTATTATACTCTGCAAATGGTATAAAGGTCATTTAATTAAAATAATTGATCTATGACCTCTAGGTCATAGCCATATTTCAAATATTATTTTTAAGTGTATGCAATATAAAGAATTTTTATTTTAAAATTTATCCGTCGATTCATACTAATTGCTATTTACCCCCCTAATAGTAATCATCTTTCAGTCTGCATCATACCATAGGTTTGAGTGAATAACAATATTCTTTTAAAATAACTAAATTTTCAGAAATAACTAAATGTAACTAATTAAACTAATTAGTTATAATAAACAATTAATGTTAATATCTTTAGAATGAAAGAGCAGTGAAGAGAAAGGGCTAATGGTACCAAAACAACTAAAATAACCATCTTAACAGAAAACATTTCGATTTATTAGCTAATAAAGAACAAGATCAGGGGTACAAATTAATTGAGAGACAATTGCGAGTTGCGGTAAAATAACTATTTATCATGATATGAGAGGTACTTTTAGGATACGTATGCCTCGAGGGGTAAATGTGCAAAATGAAAACCTTGTATTAGAATATATATGAAGGTGATAGAATTATTAATATGTACTTATACCCAATAATTGTGACTCCATGAACATGGGTGTAAGCTTTTTAGATTCTGCACAAGACTACAAAGCACCAGATCAGCTCTTTAAGTGACAGAGTACTGACGGAGGTTTATACACCGTTAGTTGATTTTTTTTTAAATATCTGCAAACTGACATAATTGTAGGGTCCAAAACTTCATTCAATGAAGACAAGGTAACAAACAAAGCATGATATTTTGTTCAGAAAACAAACAAACAACAAAGGTTGATATTATTTTCGAGTCTTTGTTCTTTATTGTATTAGAGGGCAATTACGCTTGGTCTTTTTCCAGGTGTTGAGATCAAATTTTGTATTTGGTTCCAGCCTATTCGAACATGGTTCGATATTTGATTAAGCCATCTATTGACATTTGATTAGACGTAGGAATATTCTTGTGGAGAGCATTCTCATAAAAGTCGAATGAGATATTCTTCTAGTGTGATTTTGAAAAGACGTAACCATCAAACTGAAAATAGTTTCCCAGATGGATTAATTCGAAGACATTAACAACACAATAAAAATCATTAGGTTGGAATAATTTTTTGGAGACTAATTAAAGAAGGAACTTGATAGGTAAGTTTGGACACGTAGATTTGACAATTACTCTGATGAAGAAGACCACCACTTTCTCAATTACAATCATCGGATTTTTGTTTTCTAATATAACTAGTGTGCACCCCGTGCAAAACATGGCTTTTCCTTTTTTTTATCGCTATAGTAATTCCGTTTTAATTGTTACAGTATATTTTTTAAATGCTAGAACAATATTTTTTAAATGAGACAACAATATTTTTTAAAAACGTTACAATATTCCACTTCTGCTACTGCAACATATTTTAAAATGATATAGTATTTTTTAGTAATGCTACAGTAATTCTTCTCTGAAAATACTACATGAATACCGTTACAGTAAATTACTGTGATATTTACTGTAGCATAAATAGTGATTCTTGGATCCTTCCATTGTTATAGAGGAATAGATTCGGTTCGTTTTCACTTTATACTCAATACAAATCATATTCATTGAAAGATACGATTCTAAAAATTAGTCTCTCTATTGTCTAACTATAATAAAGAGTAGCAAAATACATTTTGAAATAACAAAAAGAAAATCATGTACCTTTAATAGTACACTCATCCCGTGCGCCAAAGCATTGCTAATGTGAAAAAGTATCGCGTGCCAACACATGCCAGTTACGCATCAATAGTTACAATGCAAGCATATCTTAATCATTGATTAACCTCTAAAGTTAATGAACCTTGTCCAGAGAGTACCTTTTTTGAGTGTTTTTCTGTTTGGGCTGAGTCTGATCTCTTTGTCATGGAGACGTGCTTAATTTGTGCTGCCTCCACAATGGGAATCATGGTTGACACAGTTGTGGTTTATTTATCGGTGACATAAATGTTAATCATCAAAACTTTACTAGACTCCTCTATGATTGTGAAAATAATCTATAACTTGTCAAGATCACAATGAAGACAATTCAAATTTCATACAGATCAGAAACTTACATAATAACATTTTTTTTTTTTGATAACGGAATCAAATCAAAGATCATGAGAGTCGTATTGGAACCTCTCAATCATTCGGATCACCGACGATTCTAAATTTGGACCAATTTTTATTATATTGTTACAGCTATTGGTTATCCATGATCGTGTGGTATTATGTGTCCTAGCTCTAAATTGCCTATGTGGAATAGAGGGCTAGCTAGTGGCAACTATTTAAAAAGTTTCTTAACATAAATAAATCACAAATTGTCTGGCAATTAAATAATTATAATTATAATTACAATTTGTAATTTTGAACAACAGTTATATGTTTTTTTTTTATTGTAATTATTATGAACTTCCTTTGAAGTTTGATCACATGTGAAGAAACCAACGTACCTTTGTCTTTTCATCACATGACAATTGACATTCTGCTACTGAAAAAAAAACGGGTTTTTCTATAGAGTGCCCATGGGCATTCTATAAGAGAGGAGAGAGATAGAGAGAAATGAATTGTCCATAAAATTTAGTGCAAATCAGGAGGTCCCATGGGCAATTCACTTTTCTCTATCTCTCTCCTCTCTTATAAAGTGCTCATTGGCACTCTATAGAAAAACCCAAAAAAAAACAGCTAAAATTCATTAACGTAGTTGTAAAGCTTCTACGGTCACACCGTAACAAACACCAATTAATGCAATTTAATTTTATTTTAAGCATATATATATGTCACTTTAACTCAAATCGAAGCACATGGACAACAACCATGGGACCCTACTTAATCATGCATCTTTAATTTTGTTGTGAAGAGGATGTCTCAGCGTGAACAAGTGGTGTACGTGCTTTTCTTCATTCGCTGAGTGGGGCCTTGTCATTGAATTGTACTTGTTGCTCCGTCTTTTTGGGAAACCACCGAATCCTATGACCACGTGTCACTCCCCAACTGTTAGGCAAGATTCGGCGGGTAAGAGCAACTCCATACGAGGAGGCTGCAAAATGCATCCTACCCAAAGAATATATTCAAGTATGTTCTTTTTTTAGAGGGGGCACTTCAACAACCCCCTCTGTATCGTACGTCATTCTTAAAATATGTATAATTAAGTGATTATGTGCATAATGCTTTAAATGATTTTGAAAATAAAAAAACATAAAATGATAAAAAATTATATGAATTAATTTAAAATATATGATAAATTAATACTAAAATTGTAATATATAATGTAATCATATATTTAAATAAAATTAATAATCTTTAATAAATGGATAATAAGGAATAGATAAGAGCCTTTAAATTTTAAAAATCAGAAAATATAGCATAATATTTGGAACAATCTTTTAAAAACTAGAAAAATAAAGTACATAAAAAAAATTAAAACTCGGCGAGGTCATTTCCTCCATATCCACCGCTTCTGTAGTCTGGAATGTCGTATAGACATGGAAATCAAGCGATGTAATTTTTTTTAATTAAGGTTTCGATGTATTTCAATATTAGTATGTTTATCTTTCATCTAATTTTCTAATCCATTTTTATTTTTAATTACTTGGTTCTTGGAATTTTATATTTCAATTAATATTAGGGAAAATTGCTTGGAGAAACCAAATAAAGTTGGGCTATGCATCCCCACCCCAAGTCTAAAAATCATAACCAAAAAGCCCTAAAAATGAAAAAGAAGTGCAACCAAACCCCAAAACTCATTGCCCAAGAAAACATTCCCAAATTACCCTTCTTCTTCCCCATTTAAAACCCAATCCCTTTCTCCTCCTAATCTGGCCCAAGGTCTCCCCCCACCACCGCCTCTCCCTCCCCTACCACCGCCGACGTCGTAGCCTCCACTCCTACGCGATCGTCTCCTCGTCCTCTTCCTCCGCCCTCCGCGCCCGCGTCGACCGAGTTGAGGAAGCACCATTTGGGTTTGAGCCCCCTTTGTTTTGGCTTTGGGGAATCGTCTGAAGCAAGCAACCGCCCCCCTTCTTCTTCATCCCTTGACGGGATCCTCGACCCCTCATATAAAATCAAAAATTTGCCCCAAAATTCTTAAATTTCACTTAAATGCATCGAGATATCTGAGGATGTTGAATGAATTTATGGCTCGAGTTCTCGCGTTCATGCTTCTTCTACCTGTTTTGTTGTCAAATTTGATGCTTTATTTTGGCTTTGAGTGTTAAATTAGGGTTTATTTGGATGCAGATTGATGCTTGGCTACATGTATCCAGCATTTGAATGCTTTAAAATGATGGAGGTGGGGCAAGCTAGCATAGGGCAACTCCATTTCTGGTTCCAATACTAGTGAGATCATTTTCTTAAATTTATTTTTTTGAAATTGAAATTTTAGAAGGAAAATATAAGGTTATTGATGATTTGAGAAGGAATTGGGGTTTCTTGAATTCTTTTGGCAGGGTGATTGTTGCAATCTTGACGGTCTTTGAAAGATTCTTCGATGTGTTCGTTTCATGGTAACCTCACAATCTATTTTTTTTATAAAAGTTTGGAATTGGATTCTTGAGTCTTGATTATTGACTATATCGTCTAATTTTTATCAATAATTTGAAGGTTGCCATTGTCTGATGAGACCAAGCTAGCATTCTTCATCTACTTGTGGCACCCAAAAACAAAGGTAATATAATTACTAAAATCTCATTATGAATTCCACTTTGTATTTTAGGGTGGAATTGGAAAGTCGGTGTTTCAATACATGTATTAAAGTCGATGATTGTATTGATTGACACGTGTTTTAATATTTTTAGGTGTTAGAAGTTAGTCGGCAAGCCTTGATGGGAGAGAAACTGATCGAATGAGGAGGAGGAGGAGGAGGTTTGAGAAGGCAATGATGTAGATGTCTGGGCTTAGATTGGAGAGGAGGAGGAGGTTGAGAAGCCTTGATGGGATCTCTTTTAATGTGGTTATTAGTATAGTTGGTTTTGTGCAAATTTGTCGTTTGAACGGTTAACAGAGTTCATCGGTTTGTAAAATTTGATAAGGAAATGGAAGTCAACTTGTTTAATTTTGCTATAAAATTCTATTTGGGTATTGTATGTGATATTTGGGTGTTGTATGTGATATTTGGGTATTATATGTGATATTTGTGTGTTGCTTGTGACATTTGCTGTTTATACGTGACATTTGGGTGTTGTATGTGATATTTGGCTGTAATTTGTGATATTTGGGTGTTGCTTGTGACATTTGCTATTTATACGTGACATTTGGGTGTTGTATATGATATTTGGTTGTAATTTGTTGATAGTGAATGTGATATTAGATCTAATAGAGTCATTTCACATCCTCCGCCAGAATATTTTTTGTACTTTGGATGTTGTATGTGATATTTGTTATTTATATGTGACATTTGGGTGTTGTATGTGATATTTGGGTGTTGTATGTGATATTTATGTGTTGCTTGTGATATTTGTTATTTATACGAGATATTTGAGTATTGTATGTGATATTTGGCTGTAATTTATGACATTTGGGTGTTGTATATGATATTTGGGTGTTGTATGTGATATTTGTGTGTTACTTGTGATATTTGTTGTTTATACGTGATATTTGGGTGTTGTATGTAATATATGACTAAAATTTGTGATATTTCGGTGTTGCTTGTGATATTTGCTGTTTACACGTGATATTTGGGTATTGTATGTGATTTTTAGCTGTAATTTGTGATATTTGGGTGTTGTTTGTGACATTTGCTGTTTTTACGTGACATTTGGGTGTTGTATATGATATTTGGCTGTAATTTGTGATATTTGGGTGTTGCTTGTGATATTTGTTGTTTATACGTGATATTTGGGCGTTGTATGTGATTTTTGTCTGTAATTTGTGACATTTGGGTGTTGTATATGATATTTGTAACATTTGGGTGTTGTTTAAGGTGAAGGTGAAGGTGAAGAGGAGTGTCAAAGTATTTGAGTTTCAGTTGAAGGTGAAGAGGAGTGTCAGAGTATTTGAGTTTGAGTTGAAGGTGAAGAGGAGTGTCAGAGTATTTGAAGGACGAGTTATTTATTCCTAGGTCTTGATGGGAAAAGAAGAATAAGGGGATGATGATGAAGGAGGATGTGGAATGACTCTGTTAGATTGTTTGTTGGAAATTTGCAGTAAAAAGACAATGAAAGAAAATTTGACTTGTATTCCTCTCAAAATCAATTACAATTTGGATTCCGATTACAAAAGAGAGGAGAATGAATTTGATTCTCCCCTTTGTTTAATTCTGAGTTCTTCACGGTGGCGATGAGATGCCTCCCTCGAATGCTCGCGTCGAGTTTGCTTCTCGTTGACGATCCGAATGTCTTGATTCACTGGAACGATGTCTTCTCCTCACGATTTGACGCTGTAGAGAAATTGCGTGGCAAGTTTTGAAATAACTCTTGACGAGTTGATAACTCTGAACGAGTTTTAGAAGAACTCGTAGAGTAAGTTTTGAACTCTGAGCGAGTTGATAACTCTGACGAGTTTTAGAAGAACTTGCAGAGCAAGTTTTGAACTCTGATCGAGTTGATAACTCTGAACGAGTTTGAACTCTTGAAAAAGAGTTGATTTGAACCGAAAGTTCGGTTAATAAGCCAAGGAAGAAGCTCCTGTTGCTGGTCTCCAAAACTCCTTGTTGCTGCAGAACGCGGCAAGATGCTCGATCCCAAAAGAGAGGATCCGAACTCAGTTGAGTTTTGAGGTATTTATAGGGGGTTAAGGGTATAACCGCCCCCTTAAATATCTCCTTAATGAGGGTTTAATGGGGTGTAACTGCCCCTCATAAATCTCTCCATGATAGGGTAGTGATCCCCTAAAATCTTGGGGAGAAAACGGTTCTGGAACCGTTCGAATCGTGCTTGAACGAGTTAAACGCTGAAAACAGCGTTCTGGGCTCGAACTGTGCGTTTCTGGACCTGAAACGCACAGTTGAGACTGAAAACGCACAGCTGGGGCCGAAAACGCACAGTTAAGGCTGAAAACGCACAGCTGGAGCTGAAAACGTACAGCTGGGCCTGTAAACGCACAGTTAAGGCTGAAAACGCACAGCTGGAGCTGAAAACGCACAGCTGGAGCGGAAAACGCACAGTTGGTTCTGACGAAGTCCAGTCTTGCAGACGGACTTCAGAACATTATTTGCTGCGAAGAACAGGTCATAACTTTCAAACCGTAAGTCGGAATTAGACGAATTATATATGAAAATCGGCTATCTCGACGAGACGGGGCCATCCGAACCAAGCCAAAGGCTTCGGTTCGCTTTCTCCGTTTTGCCAAATTCCTCACGGTTTGAGAGATATCTGCATTCTAATATGAAGAGACCGTCAATTTGTAGTCTCTTTTGCTAGAGCTTTGCACAGATCGTCCTCTTGTAATCTTCGTCTTGGCTCCTTGAAAATATGAGAGTCGTCAGATTGTAACTCCCGATGTTGATTGTGAAGGCTGTTGAATTGGGGCTTTCATTAGTTGTTGTGAAGGTCGTCAGATTGTAACCTTCTACGTGAAAGTCCTCAAATTGTAGCCTTCTGGAAGTCGTCAAGTTGTAACTTCCATCATCAGTGTTTGATGGGGGATCAACTATCTATTGTGATTTTTAGACAGCCTACAGAACCCCCTCCAAAGTTTTCGAAAGTTCGCGGTTGACTGGGACGAATTTTCGGAATACTTTGGATCTCAATTCTGATCTTGGAGCTGTTGATTCATTGTCACAAAGGAGTTGTTCTCTGCACTCGCTTCGAAGGTAGCTTGGTTGAAGAGATTTTCCATGCAGGACCTTTGTGAAGGTATGCACCGTAATCCTGCTTCTGGAATGTGGGGGTGGACCCTGTATTTTGAACTTGAGATGCGGGTTTCACCGTTACATGTTGAATTTGGAACAACGGTGTGACCTCGGCGTTTGGTTTTTTGCATCGCGGGTCAACGTTTTGACTTAAGACATGGAAGTGGCTTCCGTGCATTTTTGACTAAGTCTTTGAGACTTGTCTTTGGCGCATCTGTTTTAAGTCTCGACTCACATCTATTAAGCTGATGGGCCTGCAAATGTGCGTAGGATTTTTGGCAAACCCTCAGCCATCAACGGATTTGATAAGCCTTTACCGACTACCGTTTGAGTCGGGCTAGCATGTGAATTATCTAGGTCCGTTCCACATGTAACGTTGTGCTAAGAGAATGAACTCTCTTAGTCTTGATGCTATGATTTTGAATATATAGGCTTTGTCATTTTGACGGGAAAAGACTAACCGGCAACGCGTGTTAGGCATAGACTTATCTCTATTTAGGGATCGAGATAAAGTCCCCCATGCGTGTGAGGCATGGATTTTGATGTCCTTTTCACGGTAAAAGACTAACCGGCAACGTGTGTTAGACATTGACTTATCCCTACTTAGGATTCAGGATAAAATTCCTCATGCGTGTAAGGCATGGATTTTGGCGTTATTAATAACGACCTGCTACGATATTGAATACGTAGACTTTTGCTATTATTACGGGAATAGGCTACCCGGCAACATATGTTAGACATTGACTTATCCTTACTTAGGATTCAGGATAAAATTCCCCATGCGTGTAAGGCATGGATTTTGACGTTATTAATAATGACCTGCTACGATATTGAATACGTAGGGTTTGCTATTATTGCGGGAATAGGCTACCCGGCAGCATGTGTTAGATGCAGACTTATCTCTAATTAGGGATCGAGATAAAGTCCCCCCTGCGTGAAGGCATGGATTTTTGGTGTCATTTCTTCCTGTGTAGCTTGAAACACCGAAAGAATTAACAAGTTCATTGGGGGGTTGACTGTTAGAGGTGTTATGTTAACATAACAGTATTTTATGGACCTATCGCTCTATTGAAGAGAGTCGATAAGTTGATTTGGTCGTCAGAGGTGTGGTGTTAACTTGACGAGTTTGTGGACCTATCGCTCCATTGAAGAGAGTCGATAAGCGGATTTTGTCAGAGGTGTAGTGTTAACGTGACAAGAAAGATATTGCTATGGAAGCAATTTTGAGAACTTATCGCTCAATTGGAGAGAGTCGATAAGTTGATTTGGTCGTCAGAGGTGTGGTGTTAACTTGACGAGTTTGTGGACCTATCGCTCTATTGAAGAGAGTCGATAAGTGGATTTTGTCAGAGGTGTAGTGTTAACGTGACAAGAAAGATATTGCTATGGAAGCAATTTTGAGAACTTATCGCTCTATTGGAAAGAGTCGATAAGTTGATTTTGTCAGAGGTGTAGTGTTAACGTGACAGGATTTGTGTTGCAATTGGAGCAACTTTGGGGACTTATCATCCTATTGACGAGGATTGATAAGTGGGTTTTGTCAGAGGTGTATTGTTAACGTGACAAGAATTTGTGTTGCGATTGGAGCAACTTTGGGGACTTATCATCCTATTGACGAGGATTGATAAGTGGGTTTTGTCAGAGGTGTAGTGTTAACGTGACAGGATTTGTGTTGCAATTGGAGCAACTTTGGGGACTTATCATCCTATTGACGAGGATTGATAAGTGGGTTTTGTCAGAGGTGTAGTGTTAACGTGACAGGATTTGTGTTGCAATTGGAGCAACTTTGGGGACTTATCATCCTATTGACGAGGATTGATAAGTGGGTTTTGTCAGAGGTGTAGTGTTAACGTGACAGGATTTGTGTTGCAATTGGAGCAACTTTGGGGACTTATCATCCTATTGACGAGGATTGATAAGTGGGTTTTGTCAGAGGTGTATTGTTAACGTGACAAATTGGGAGTGATGCAAACTAAATGCATACGCTGTGGGGGTTATGATCGTCAGAAGTGTAATGTTAACTCGACGATGTGAAGGATTCGTTACCCTTAATCCAGTGG